GCGGCCGGCGAGGGCGCCGCGGTGACCGAAGAACCCCCCCCGCTGGCCGGTACCGGCGCCGGCACGGCGGTGCGGCGGTTGATCCACACGACGTTGTTGGACAGGCAGATCCTTCCGGTGTCGGCGCGGAGTACGACGGCAGTGGCGTCGGAGTGGTTGCGCGCTCCGTGCAGGTAGAAGCAACGAACGGATTGGACGTCCCAAGGCGCGCTTCACGCGCATCATCCCCTCCTGGGAAGAGGGGACGACCTTGAGCGGCGGTTTGCGTCCGAAGAAGGCCTCGAACGGCGACATCCAGGCCGGGTTGGCCGACGTCGCGGAACGGTTGAAGCAGCCGGAGGCCCAGATCGCCGATGCAAGCCACAGCCGGTGTCCGTTGGCGTCCATACCGGGGATGGAGGCGAGGTCGAAGTGGCCCATGGAGAGGACGTGGCGGCGGGCGGCGTGGCCCCCCTTCATAGCTCGCCAGATGGCGCTTTCGACGATCGCATTCTGGTTCGGGGTGTCGGGCGCGGTGTACTCGCGCCGGATGCCAGCGGCGTCGCAGAACGCGACGAAGGCAGCACTCGTGAACTCCCCCGCGTTGCCCATGCGGAAACACCCCAGGGGGCCGTCGCCGTTCAGGTCGGCGAGGAAACGCCGCGTGTACGTCAGGGTGTCGCTCTTGGCCCGCATGCCGTACGCCCGTTGCCACCGCGACGCACTGTCCACGAACATGATCAGGTAACGGGAACCGTCGAACGCCTGAGAGTACGGCCCGGTGATGTCGATGTGCACCTTGCCGAAAGGTACCGCCGCGCGGGTGACTCCACGCCGCGGCACCGGGGCCCTCCTGCCCTTCGCCTCGATGCAGCCGACGCATGGCTGCAGTTCCCCCACCAATTGAACACCCTGCTGCTTGGCGGTTTCCCGCATCAAAAATTCATTCACGTGGCCGGTGGAAGCGTGGAACAAATTAATGTCGATGGTGGACGTGGGTTTTCCTACAGTGAACGCTGGACCACCGGGGGCGATAATCGCCAAAGCATGGGAAAGGGATGGGGGACCTACATCTTGCTGCACACGGCACTCGGCAGCGAAGTCTTTGAGCGCGTCCAACTCATCTTGCATCGCAGCGAACGCAACGGGGGGCTTCACAGACTCACACACGCCTAATGGGTCGGGATAAAAGTCACCCGGAGGGACCGAGTCTTGTCCGTTCATCAAGCCTACATCCAAGAACATACTCATGTCCATCAAAGGCAAATTATCCTGGGACTCAAGAGGCATGATCTCTATCTCTCGCGACACATTCGGGTTCAAGACTGAGGGGGACAGGACGTCGGATGAGGCGATGGCTGCGGCTAGGGCAGGCTGAAAATCTCGGATTGACGTAGGCACTACATCAACATCGATAGACGGGGAAACATCACTCTGAGGTACTACACCGGAAGTGGTGGACGGGATGCTCGAAGCCGAAGGTACAACACCGGCAGTACCGATGGACGGGAAGCTCGAAGTCGAAGGTACAACACCGGCGGGACCGGTGGACGGGAGGCTCGAACTTGGACCGTACCCTGTACCCGATCCTGAATCTGAGAAGGGGAAGGGGGGTTTTGGGCAAAAAGGCCAGTGCCAACGCCAGGCGGAGACGCTTGGCGGACAACGGGGGGAGGGACAACGGTAGAGGGGATTACATCACCGTCGCGGTACGAGGGGGGCAAGCGGGTGGCCGATAGA